CAAGAATCCTCAGATGACCAGGAAGGTCTTTGTAGCTAATAATTAAATGTCCCTTTTGCAATTTAAGCTTGCTTCTTTGTACCCTAACTTCGGGGACAGTAGTGTTGAAATAAATTTCCAAGGCTAGATGGAGCCACTCTTGTTCAGGGTGCCACATCAGTAAACCGAACTTCTGTGATCCTGTAAATGCTCCACTTGACCAGAAAGGCAGTGTATCCAGTCAGCCAATCCCCAAACGCCAAGCCAACTCGGGGCTCTATACTTATTTCCTTGCTCCCTGATCTTTCTAAATAAGGTCAGATATGCCACCCCAGTTGATCATGCCCTGTTTCTGTGTTGCTGCTTCTAACGCTTTATAAAACTCTTTCTTGCCAAAAATCCCTTGGGAAGAGCACTCCACTGCTTATGAGGCACAGCGCTCCCCAAATCTGTGGACTGTTTTCCCTTGGATAAAAGACATCAAACTAATTGCTCAGTTGTTTTGGTTTTGGCATTTCACGGTAGAAAACAGTTGGACTTATTTCTCTTTAGAATCACATTTCCTTTCAAAGGAAAGCCCATTCCCAACTGTGTCTTCCCTTTACTCAACAATTCCCATGTGTTTGGTCTTCCTCCCAGATGCCATGGTTGAACTTGGCCTCTTGGCCAGTGATGACCCTTGTAATTATCAGAGGTTATAGACTTTTCCTAAAATCAGGGGGCAATCCTGTAGCTCTCTGCTGAGTCTGTTTCAACGGCAAGTAGTCTACAAGGGCTCAATAAGTGGGAAAAGAATTGGCAAACAATGAAGTAAGCCTCTTGTCTGATTCTTCCCCGCAGCATGAAATATGGGCCACCATGTGTTCTTTAGGTCCTATAAAGGAAGAAAAGCTGAAGCCAAACCCACTGAATGCCCACCTGGACATGGAGAGGAGCTTTTCGGGTATCTCAGTGCCCAGGACAGTAGAAAGTCTCTGCTTGGCTTTCCAATGGAGGCCACTGGAATTGGTCTTGGTGCAGTGCAAAATAGAGTTGCCTGCAAAGGTCAGTGGGTCTCCCATTTTCCATGTAGGATTCACCCTCATGCTTGTTAAAAATGTGAGTTTTCAAGCTGGTCCCCAGAGAGGCTGTTCCTAGAGGTGTTCTGAAGTGGATTTCTGTACTGAAGATCTTTCTAATTCTTAATGTCTTATATGTCCCCACCAGGAAACTGGAGGCTGCTATGATCTTCTGATTTTCTTATAAAAAGGGAACTGGGGGTAAGCTAACTACTAAGCACAATCAGAGTGGAAGCATCTGGTTAACATCAGCTCCCTAGAGCCCTGTTCATCACAGTGTATTCCATAGACTACCTGCATGGGAATCATGAGGGTATTTTTTGAAAATGTAGATTCCTGGCTCTCAGCCCTGACTTGAATTAGAATTTCCAAATTCCAGGCCCAGGAATCTGTACTTTACCACACTTTCCAGGGGATGTTGAAAGACACTATAGAGCTTGAGAACTGTTTTCCTATGGGCTGAGTCTTCTTAGTAAACGGCTGGAGATGGATGCTATGGAATATGGGGCCTACATGTTGCAGCTTGGTGTCAGAGGCCTCAGCCCTGGGCTGCTGGGGCCAGTTGTAGGTAGAGAAGGCTGCCTCTCAGGTGGTATTCTAGGAGCATTGCCAGGAGTTGTGTGGCTTTGGGCAGGTTTCTTAATCTTTCTGTGTCAGTTTATTAATCTTTAAAGCGGGCATAATAGTAGTGCCTGCTAATAGAATTGTTGTGAGGACTAAACGTATAATTACACTTTAAATGCTCAGAGCAGTGTCTGGCCCACAGGAAAAACTACGTACATGTCAGTTGCAGCTGCCGCTACTTCCGTTAAAATTGTTATCCCAATCTCTGCCACCTAGGGTGTCCGTTCTCTAAAACCCAGGAGTCAGCAAACTGTGGCCCTTTATCTGTTTTTGTAAATAAAGTTTTATTGGAATGCAGCCATGCTCATTCCTTTATGTTATTATGTACGGCTGCTCTCCTGCCCCAACAGTAGAGTTAAATGGTTGCTACAAGGACCGTATGACCCACAAAGGCTAAAATATTTACTGTTTGACCCTCTTTAGAAAAAGTTTGCCAACTCTTGTTCTAAATGCCTTTGAGCCCCTGTTAAATGTTGATCACGCGAAGGAACAGCAAAGGCGGTTGTGTCAGAGGTTAACTGGTGGTCTGATTGTCTGTTCAGGGCAAGCCATGTGAGTGAAACAGAAAGTGGCAAGTGGACAAAGCCGAGGGGGGAGAACATCCTGAGAAGAGCCTGGAGGTATAGGACTTTGCCAGTCTGGAGGGGGTCCTGGCCTCAGCTTTTATTTATTTTTTTAAATTTTTAAAATTT